TTTTTATTTTTGATTTAACATGAACATACCTATGAATTTCACTGATCCAATTTGCTAATGTTGAAAGTGGAGCGACAATTAAGAATGGCCCATAAATTTTACGCTCCCATAGATAAGCCAAAAAAGCGATAGTTTGCAATGTCTTTTGGTCGGCAACCAAATTCAAAGTTAAATGGCATGATACTTATTTATTATATATAATATATATATATATATAAAAAACAGTCAAAAATCTTGGAAAATACCTTGCCCAAGCCCATTTCATCGGCCAATATCCCATTCAATCCATTATCATACAAACTAACAAGCCATTCAACACCAGTTAGTTGATATTCACGAAGGACACCACCAGTAACCAATCGTGGTTGACGAGCAGATATAACAGGATTTGGTTTGGAATCGTCATCGTCTTTAACGGTTGTTATGGGCCCGTCATCTTCAGTATCAACCAAGTCTGCTTGGGATGAAGTTTCTGCAGGAGCTGTCGAAGAATCGGAGCTCTTACGACGCTTAGGGAGTTCCTAGTGATTGATGGAACAAAAATATATGCATATCATTAGAAATATAGTTGAGTCAATCAATTACTTAATAATTCAATTACTTAATAATTCAATTTTACTTTATTCTCCAAGTAATCTGATATATTATAATGAGCGTCATTGGCTTTTCTCTTCCTTCCAGTGGTACTTTTCTTTTTTGTAACCGGCTTAGTAGAAGATTCAGTAGATTCAGCATCGGCATTTTTCGCACTAATCCTTGATGATCGACGCGTTGGACCGGCTTGTATTCTATCTTCTTTTTCTTTCGCGTTAGCGCGCCTTCCTTCTTCGGTTTGAGCGCGCTCGCGTTGTTCTTCTTGTTGCCGTTCCATTTTATTTGCTAAGAATTGTGCATAAAGTGATGATTTTTCTAATAAGAACTTCAGACGCTGAACTCGTTGCTTATCAACGAGTGCGTCATAATCAGCCACTGCCTATTTATTATTTTTAAAAATTTGTTAGATATTCCATATATAAATCAAATTTACATATTTTGATAATTATTACTTGTGATTTAACTATAAATGACCAATTTTCATATTTTTTTACATTATTGGTTGGTCTAAAATGGTAACACACGGATAATATTGCAATTCACCAAACTTTACAAATATAGCGAATAAATTTTCTACGTTTCACAAATAAAGTTCTTATGTGCAATTTATTATGGCATACCTTTTCTTTTAAAATTTTAAGATTTTCTTTTTCACCTTCGTTGATAAGTTTGGCCTCCTCCTTTTTCATGTGATCAGTTATGATAGATTCATCAGTAGGAGTGTGAACGGAGGAATCTGTACTCAGAAAG